CACATCAACAATATCCTTACTCAACCTTGGGTTCCCTATCACCAGCTTCCTTGTCCCCTTCTGCCTTCTGGCCGTTGTCACTGGACTGCTGTATCTCGTTAGTCTCGTTTGGTTTTATGGGGCTGTTCCTCCCAGGCTGAATGGTGAACCTCGGAGATAGCTTCACCACTGAGCTGAAAAGGTGTCTGGGGGCCATACTCTCGGGATTTCTCCAGTCTCCTTTAGGCCAGTAAATCTGGTCTTTTTTTTGTGAGATAGAATTATGTTCTACATCCTTCTCCAGCGCTGTCCAGAACCCTCTGTTGTGATCCTGGTCAGAGCAGTCAGTGGTGGTAGTCGGGCACCATCTAGCTGTACTGGACTCGGTCCGGTGGAGGCCTTGGTAGCTGTGGACAATTAGTCCTTTGGACTAATCTTTTCCTTGTATCCTCTTCTTTTCATTCTCGCAATGTGCTCAGGGGAGCTGGGTATTGGGCCTATGAGGTTGTGCTGTGCGATTGAGAGACAAAAAGAGAGGTAACAGAGACTCTGGGGACCCTACCCTCCTGGAGAGTCTTCTTTCATAAAGTCCTTCTGTTTTAAAGTGTTTTTGAAGACTAGAGTTACAAGGAAGTACTTTTCTTTCATTGCTGGCACCGTGTCACCTTTGCCCAGGGTCTGTACGTCTTTAGCTTCCTCCATTTCTCACTGTAGCCCTGCTGGATGGCCTTCAGCCTGGGGAATCCCTCTGCATTCCCACCTGTCTTTCTGGCTGCCCCTGGGCGACCTTCCTGTTGCCTTCTAAGAGCCTTGTTTTGTGATCTCACACCCTCCAGGCAGCCTTCTTTTTGCCTCAGATCTCCAGAACCCTTAGCTAGGGACCACCTTCCTTCTACCATTGCTGCAGGTGTCCTCACTAAGCTTTGTTTGCTGAGTTAGTACCTTTCTCCCTTGATAAAATTGCTTTATATTTTGCCCTTTTAATTAAACAACTATAACTGAATGGCAGCAGAAATCTTACTGATGATCATTCCTGCCACTTAACTATCTAAAGTCTCTGCCAACTGTGAGAACAGAGGTGATCAAAGAAAGGTTTTTGAAGTTCAAGTTTTCTGATTAAGTCTCTACCTAAACCTGTGCAAGAAATCTGGAGTATTTCTATGATGACCTCTTGACTTTGTTTTAAACTGAAAGATGCTCTTTTAAAATATTATTTAAAATTTAAATTTTTTTTAATTGTGAAATACCCAAGACATGTGCAAAAATATATGAAGAATACTATACTATAATACATACTTGTGAACTTGTTTTCAGCTTAAAAAATAAAACATTACATGAACAGTTGCCTCTCTCTGATAGTTTCATCTCCTCTCCCCCTCCTCCCAGTAATGACTGTTCTGAATTTAGTGTTTTATACTCTTACTATGTTTGTATGTATTCTTGGTCTTATACTTTCACTATATTTGTATGTATTCCTAAATAACATAATATTAGTTTGCATGCTTTTAATTTTACATAAATGGTACAATGCAATATATATTCTATTGTGGTCTGCTTTTTTCATCATTAAATCTTTAATCTTGAGCAGATAGTTAGTTGCTTGCTACCTTGGCTCCTCTGAAATACTGTGTTTTCCAAAATATTGCAGCATTGATTTTATACAGTCTAAGTAAGATTCTCTGACAATTAAGTTAGCAGGCTATCCATTTTAGGTTCAGAGGCTTTTTCCATCTGTAATATAACCCATGTTTGCTTCTTGTACAGTTGCCCAACCTTTTTTCATTCTCAAGACACACCCATGAACTTGTTGGGACACACCAGGGGAAGGTGAGAGCTTTCTAGCCTCATTCCATTCTCTGTTAACTCTCCAGCTGCCCAGCCACACCTAGCCCTCCTCCTTCTCTTCACCATGGTCATTTCCCCCTTCCTCTATGGAAGTAAAAACTTTAAAAAGGAGAGTGAGGAAAAAAACCCAGGATATTGTGACATTCACAGTATCATTCCACTTTGCGTGAAAATATTTTGCTTCACTGATGGAACTTTGGAACTTAGGGCACTGATGATAACTCTTCAAAATGGCTAAGAACTTTACTTTATCACTCAGTCATTCATTCAGTCATTCACCAGGTATTTATTGATTTCTCACTGTGCCAGGTGTTGGGAATACATGGTAAGCATATAAACATGGTCCCTGCCCTCATGGAACTCGTAGTCTAGTAAGGGAGACAGATATTAGTCACATAATCCTATGAGTAAATAAAACAGTTATACCTGTAAACAGTGCTATGAAAGCTTCTATAATAGGAGGATTTTACTTAGGCTCGGGAGGTCAAATATGCCTTCTTGAGAAAGTGGCAATTTAGCTGAGATCTAAAGATTGTGTGGGAGTTAACTAGGGGAAGAAGAGAAGAGATTGTTCCAGATCAAATGCAGAGGTCTGGGAACAGGAGGGACATGGCATGTTCATGGTGCTGGAACCCAGAAAGTGGGAGGGGAGTGGGTGTGAGATGAGCCTAGAGAGGTAGGGCCTGTCCAGCAGGGCCAGGTGGGCCATGGAAAGGATTTTTGTCTTCTTTATCCTAAAAGCAATGGGAAGTAATTTGTTTCATGTGTTTTGCCATTTTTTTCCAGTTTAAAAAGCAGAAACTCCTCTTAGAACTGGACCAGTATGCCCCAGATGTGGCCGAACTCATCCGAACCCCTATGGAAATGCGTTACATTCCTCTGAAAGTAGCCCTGTTGTAAGTATTCCCTCATAAAACAGGGCTCAGTGCCAACAAATGCAAGGAAAATCTGATGAGATTTTCCCATGTTGTTTGTTGTATTTTTGAGATTTGCAATCTTAATCATCAAGTATTTGCAGTAGTTCTGTTGTACAACTGGGTTCTGGCCAGCAAAAAACACAGAGCCATTCTGTCTCTGTTGGGACAAAGACTCATACAGGGACGTGCACAATCAAACCTTTCACAAATGCTTTTTGACCCGGTACTGATCTGGGCTCCAGCCCACTTGTAACCAGTGTTTCTACAAAAAAGTTCTTCACATTTGATATATGGATTGAATAAAATTCTGATCTTTATTGGTTGCTTTTTTCAAGCAGCTCCTATGTTTCTTGTACTATTTAATCTCCCTTTTGTAATTCAGAAAACTGAAGTAAGTGCCAAATTTTAGACCCATCCCAGCTGGGTGACCAGTATGGAAGGGTAGAACTTGCTGAGGCTCTGTGAAAGAATTCTCTAGGAGTACCCAGTGCTGCCAGTAAGTTTAATTCTTTCAGGTTATTTCTGTTTATATTCCTGTGATAGGCAAATGTGAATAATTATTCAGTCAACTAATAGTCACTGAGTATTAATAATATGCTAGTTTCTAGGAATACACAGTAAACAAGGCGGACAAGTTTCCTCCTGGAAAAATATGACCGTAGGACTTCAGAATTAGAAGGGGCTTTATGGGGACAGTTTATTGAACCCCCTGCCTTATGTGTGAATCTTAGTATCCCAGATAGGTGGTCATGCAGTTTCTTCTTGAAGATCACGTGCTATTTAGAATTGACTTTTTCTCCCTCACTAAACAGTTTTGGGGTATCAGTTCACATCTCTGTATTTCAGAAATATTGGTGGGATCTACCTACTAGAACCAGAGGTTTCACAGCATTATGAATCCCTTATGGATGCATATGTCTCTAGGAGGTAGTTTTGTAATAACAGCAGCCATTTCTTTGAAGATTGTGTAACAAGCCTATCTATAATTGCTGAAAAAAAAAATTTACTAGGCCTGGCTTTAGAACTGTAATCTTAACAGCTCTGGGAGGTACTGGATTTAAGATCTTTATTTGTGGATAATAGTTATAATCTCTTCTTGAGACACTGGTGTTTTTCTTCCTATCTGATAATTATGTAACTAGTCTCCCTTTTCACTTTGTCTGTCAGGAAACTCAGAGCTAGATTTGAAGCTGATTATTGCAGTGCTGTAGAAGACTCTACTCGGGTTTTTCCCTGGCCTTTACTTTCTTACATTTTTCCCTGGTCTTGATTCTTTATTTTGCATTATATATTTTCTTTTTAGCTACCTCACATCCTTTGTGGAAGCAGAATAGAAATAAATAAAAATAATATCCATCATGACTATCTAAGATTTTCCTACCCACAATCATTTCAAATTCATATTCTCAGTCCATTCCTTCCCACCTCAGGAAAAGACTAGGTGTTTTGGCTTATTCCCAGTGAAGGTCAAGCTGTCCCGTGAAGTTCTATAGCAGCTGGCTTGTTGAATTTGGCAGATGCTTATTCTGCCTTTGGAGCCTGGCTCATTGGATACTGCTTGACTACCAAGAGGGCTAAATCTAAGCTGCTGTTCTGACCTCTTGGATTGGTGTACCTTGTGTCAGAGCTTAGAAACCTGGTTGAGAAAAAAAAGTACTTTCCTGATTTTTCAGAGACAGCTATAGCCAGTCTTAAGATATGTCGCTTTGTGGGAATTGGTAAGAGTGTTATCATTTTTAAAGTCTGAAGTAGTAGAAAGAACATAGACTTTACGGTTAGAAAGACCTGCTTTTCAGTGTCTTTACTAGCTTGTGAAACCTTGGGCAAATTACTTAACTACTGAGTGTCATTTTCCTCATCTGCTAAATGGGAATGTTATTGATAGTGTATAGGATCTCTATAATGATTAAATGTGATGGTTTTACATATACCAAATGGCACAGAATAAACAGTCAATGTTTGGTACCTTTTAGTTACTGATCCCAACCCCCACTTCATTCTCTTTTACTTGAGAAGGCTCAAATAAAAGAGAGTGAGGTAAAAGAGAAGAATCTGCCTTCCTTTGAGTATGCTTTTAATAAATCTTCTTGAACTTCCTGGCTGTGGTGGCCAAAACTTTCTGGTTCGTGGACCAGGATTACTAATGCCGAATATGTATGTTCTTCCCCAGCTATCTCTTAAATCCCTACACGGTCTTGTCTTGTGTTGCCAAGTCTACCTGTGCAATCAACAACACCCTCATTGCTTTCTTCATTTTGACCACAATAAAAGGTAAGGCCTTGAAGGAAGAGTATGAAGCTCAGTTCCTGATTTGTGCAGAGTTTTGTAACACTTATGTGCTGTGGCTTTTTGTTTTTAACAATGCAACATTTAACGTTTTTAAAAGTTACATAACTAATATAGGATTATTATAGAAAAATTAGAAAATTTAAATAAGCCAAGAGAAAAAAAAATAATGAAAGCATCCTGGAGTTCTACCTCTCACAGAGTCACTGTTAACATAGTTAAAAAAAAAAAAAAAAGTTCTAGAAGACTTATAATGAGAGTAGCAGTCCTCTGCCTCTCTCTGCCCATCCCCAGTTCAAGTTCTTTGAAGCAGTTACTTTCTGGCTTTTGCTGGTATTTATTCCATATTTCTAAACAAGATCTCATATTGCTATTTTATAGATTATGAATTGTAGACTATTATTGTTCCTGTTTCTTTGCCCTATTATCCTAAAGGAGTTACATCACAGTTTTGAGTCAATCAGTTTTTATTGAAACCTATATTTTATGACAGTATATGTATTATTCACTGCTGGGCAAAGTAGTAACTATGATTAGTTTTCTTTTGTTGTACATACATAATCTTTTAATTTTATTTTTAATAATTATCTTTCTGTGTTTGTTGATTTGTTTAGTTTTTTGTACCAATCACTATTTTTTCCCCAAATGCTCTACTAGACCTGTCAAGTGCTTAACAATGGTTTTTCCAAATGCTTAAACACATCAAATAGTATGTTAGTTCCATTATTTTTCTGTAGACCTCTCTCACACATATTCCATTCTGCCCCAATCTGTCCTAGTTGTTCTCTGGCCTGGTGTAAAACTGTCAGGCTGGGACTTCATAATTCTCTTATGCTGCATCCCTTCTTTCCTGGATTCCTTCTCTCCTTTATTAATTTTCTCAGTTTGCTAAAGTACTTTCTCTGGTAGCTTTCTAAAAAAGGCTTTTGAGATATTGTATATTTTGAGTCATTGCATGTCTTAAAAATATCTTTGTTCTACTCTAATACCAAGTTAATAGTCTGGCTGAGTATAGAATTTTACACTGAAAAATTTTTCCTTCAGAATTTTGAAGGCATCGCTTCACTGTCTTCTAGCATCCTGGTTGCTAATGAGCTGTTTGATGCTATTATATATAATCTGATTTTTCTTCTGAAGGCCTTTAGGAACTTCTCTTTGTCTTCAATGTTTTGAAATTTTGTGATGCTGTGCCTTGATATGGATTTTTTTTTTTTTTCCTTCATTATGTTGAGTACTTGATAGACCCTTTCAATCTGGAGACTGATGTCCTTTAGTAACAGAAAGTATTCTTGTACTGTTCTTCCAATTCTTTCTTTGTTTTCTCTGTCCTCTTGTTTTGAACTTCTATTGGATGTTGGACTTTCTTTTTTTAATAATTTATTTTTTGTTGAGAAAATACATAGCAAAAAATACACAATTCAGGTTTCTACATGTACAATTTAGTGACATTGATTACATTCTTTGATTGTGCAACCATTCTCACCCTCCTTTTCCGAGTTGTTCGTCCCTCATTAACATAAACTCACTGCCCCCTAAGGTTCCTGTCTAATCTTTCAAGTTGCTGTTGTCAATTTGATCCCATATAGATAGTTCTTAAAACAGCACAGTGCTCAAAGCAAGCATTCTTTACTAGTTAAGCTAAACTATTGTTTGTTTTTAAGACTTCAGGGGATATTTTTCATTTAAAGTTTAAATACTATCTCAGGACAGTAGTTTCAGGGATTCATCCAGCCTCCATGGCTCCAGAAAGTCTGGAGTCCATGAGAATTTGAAATTCTGTTTTGCATTTTATTCCTTTTGATCAAGATTCTTCTATGGAATCTTTGATCAAAATGTTCAATAATGGTAGCCAAGCACCATCAGTTCTTCTAGATCCACTTTTTCTGGTCTCATGGCAAAGCAGGCAGTTGTTCATGGAAATAAGCCACACATTCCATTTCTTCCTCTGATTCCTGACTCTCCTTCTTTCTCTGTTGCTCTAGGCAAATAGAGACCAATTGTTGTGCTTTGGGTGGCCGTTTGCAAGCTCTTAAGACCCCCAGGCACTATGCAACAGAAGTAGGAGGTAGAAAAGAAGCACTAAACACGTGATTAGGCCAGTTAACTGGGATGTCCCATGAAACCATGATCCTAAATCTCCAAACCAAAGAACCAAATTTCATGAGGTGCTTGGTTGTAAATAAGCAGCCTCGGCAGCTACTCTTCTTTTTTTGTCATTGTTGTAAATATATCTATCACACAACTTTTGCCAATTTGGACTTTCTTAATTGCTCTAATTTTCATATTTTATTTTCTATTCATTTTTCCATCTTTGACTTATTTCCTTTTGATATTTCTTTGTATTTATCTTCGGTTGAATTTTTTATTTTATTTATCATATTTTTAAGTTCTTTCTTGGTCTCTGGTTGTTTCTTTGAAGCATCCTATTCTTATTTTATTGCGACAATATCCTCTTGTATCTCTGATTTTTTTTTTTTTTTCAGTTTCCATCTGTTCTAAGCATAGTCTGTGTCCTCTTGATCCTTTTGTTGTTGTTTTCCTGTTTATTTTGGACTCTTTCATGTTGGAAGATTTTCTCTTATGTATGGTGATCTTTGGCTATGTGTTTATATTTAAGAGTTAAGCACTAACATGTTGATGGGAGAATATGCATGGGCAGGGCTTTTTGACTGATCATCCTCTCTGTAGGGAGGTCAAGCATTGGGCTGACCTTTTTTTGTTGGAGGTACCCCTATGTAATCTAATGTCAGAACTCATCTAAATTCCTGAGGGGTAAGAATCAGGATCAGCACAAACCTGGTTCCTATGAGGTGGAGGTCAGACATACCTCCATTCTCCAACTTGTTCACCATTTCTGACACCAGCTGTTCGTGTCTCCCTACCCCGGCACTCTCTACTTCTCTGTTGGTCAATAATTCATTGCAATGGTCACACAGAACTCACAGATCATACTTTAAGTGGTTTATTAAGGAAGTAACAGTCTATAATTCTGGATCGGAATCAACTTGGAAGTAACAGGCTACAACTTGGAATCTGGAACAAGAAGTACACAGACAAGGCCTGGAAAGCTCCCCCAAGGCAGAAAGCACGTCTTTCCCTTCTTCAGTGCAGGACAGCTCTCTCAGCTCCTCTCTGTCGTGCAACCAGGCAGGCCTTTCTCTCGGCCATGCATGGCCCTCTTGGCTGTGTATGTACCGTCTTGGCTGTGCATGCCCCCATCATCCGTGTGGGCCTCTCTGCCTTTGGCCTTCTCACTGTCAGCCTCTCCACCGCTAAATGGCCCAGCTCATAGCCAGTGTAGCAGCTTGCTCAGGTCTCTTAAACTGCTTTCCTAGCAGCAGCTTTCTGCTGTCGCCGCCACTCTGCTGCAGGCCCCCTTCTGGGCTTCTTGTTGTCTTCAGCGTTACAACTCTTTTTAGGAAGTTCTTCACCTCCTCTCCCTCTACTTCTGCTCTCTTCTTGCCTCTGATAAAACCCTCTGTGAGTTTGGCTGCTTATATAAGCCGACTCCTTGTTCATTTCAAGGTGTGGCCCTCCCAGCAGGACCATGATACAACCAATCCCCTGGGTGGATTGCAAGTCACTCAGTTTCTGTAGTAAGCAAACCAATCCCTGCAATGTGCATAAAATAGACCAGTCACAGGGCAGACTGCAGCCCAGGGCTGGACAAAAAGTATCAAACCATCAAGTTGTTTACAGTTTACCCAGTAAATGTCAATCAACCTGGACAAAAGTAACAAACCCTCTGGGGTAGAAAACAACCTGGGAGAACACCACCCCCCCCAAGAGCTAGAGCAAAGGTAACTCTTTAGCGTTTAGGGGGAAGAAATCCCCCAAGGTGTATTTGCAAAGAACCAAGGCAAAAGGCCACGTAAAGGGGCTCATTTCGCAACACCTTAAATGTCATCATCTATAGCTTTTATTTTCCTCTGAAATTATTCAGCTTTTCTAGAGAGAAATTCTCCAATTTTCTATAGAGGTGGCAGAGTTGTGGTTGGGGTGAGATGAGGGTGCATATGACTTGCTGCTGGAGTTTTGAGAGCAGAAACAGGGACGTAGCCTGATTTTAGCCTATAGACTTCCATGTAATCTCATTGCCTTTCAGCCCATATCTCTCCTCAGCCTGTCACCGTGCTTAGTATCCCCTATGCGTGTGCTTCTTTAGTTAATTTTCTCTGGAACTGGCCTGCGGTCTCTTGGGGGTAAGAGAGAAAGTCAGGCGGCTGGGATGTGTAGGGATAATCACCTGGCTGCAAATAGGTGGGCTGATATTTGGGGTTCTGACTGGTCTGTATACAAACTTTCTGCTTGATTTTCATTTCTCTACGTCACCTCCACCTTCTATAGTACCTGATGCCTTTAGGTGCTGAATTTCTCAGAAGTTTTGTGGGGTGAATTGGCTTGATTTTTTTTTTTTTTTTTTAATTGTACTTCAGGTGAAGGTTTACAGAACAAATAGTTTCTCATGAAACAGTAGTACACATATTGTTTTATGACATTGGTTAACACCCCCACAACATGTCAACCCTCTCCCTTCTCAACCTTTTTTTTTCTTTTTCTTTTTGGTGAAAATATACATAGCCAAAGATACACCACTTTAAAAATTTGTACATGCACAGTTCAGTGACATTGACTATGCTCTTCCAATTGTGCTGCTATTCTCACTTTAGATGAAGGTTTACAGAACAAAATAGTTTCTCATTAACGGTTAGTACACATGTTGCCCTATGACAATGGTTAACAACCTCACAACACATCAACACTATCCTTACTCAACCTTGGGTTCCCTATCACCAGCTTTCCTGTCCCCTTCTGCCTTCTAGCCCTTGTCCCTGGACTGCTGTCCCTCATTAGTCCCATTTGGTTTTATGGGGCTGTCCACTCCCGGGCTGCACGGTGAACTTTGGAAGTGACTTCACCACTGAGCTAAAAGGGTGTCTGGGGGTCATACTCTTGGGGTTTCTCCAGTCTCCTTTAGGCCAGTA